TGATCTTTGATCTCCTGATCAGCTCTGCTTATGGGTTGTAGCTTTTCTCCCTTAAAGGATATAAAGTTGAACATCAAAAGAAAAAGGTATGCTTTTTTAGTTTAGTTAGAACACTGCCAAAGAATGAGAATTACACATGATGAATCATTCTTAAGAAGGATCAACATATGAATTATTTGATGTAGGAGGAAAAATATATCCACATCTAGAAATAGCCTAAAGATCATAAAGACTTCAAAAGATTTTAGATACTAACTGCTATACTTATTAGAGTGTTAAAAACTTAGAGGCTAGCTAAAAATTATAGGTAAGCTTCTGTAACAGCAATTAGAAAAAAGATTATGCAAGAACAGAGGGAGTGATAGTGGGTTCTTAGATAATTGCTTGTTGTTCCAATCTCTCTCTATATAGTATAATATGGAAGCGTGCCGAGCTGTCATCGGGGTTGCTGAAGCTTGCGAGGGAGATCTTGAAGCGGAGGAACCCAGGGCTGCGGACACGTGGCTTTGATCTGGTGATTCCGGGATCAGCGGCCACGAGGGATTGGAGAGGATGACCGGTGCTTTTTTCCTCAGCCCCGAACTGGGTTTGATTCCCAGCATGCCTCTTGATTGGCTGAAGAGAATGTGATCCAAAAAGGAAAGGAAAGTGTCCAAATTAGGATAGGCAAAGACGAGAATTCCCGCTTGAGGGAAACCCGGTGGGTTTAAATTGAAGTTTGCCTGTTCTTCATGGCAGCTGCCCTCAATTAGGGATCATTGATCCCTGGGCCCCAACAACGCTTTCAAGCGCTGTCAAGAAAGAGGCTTTTGGCCACTCCGGCAGTATGAAGAGCCGAGGTGGTGCAGTGGTTAGGGTGCAGTACTGCAGGCCACTTTAGCTGACTGTGATCTGCAGTTCAGGGGTTCAAATCTCACCGGCTCNCTGCTGATCTAGCAGTAGCCTGCAGTGCTGCATTTAACCACTGCGCCACCTTGGCTCAGTGGTTATATGAACTCAACACTGAATTATATGCATTAATTTGATTCTTAAAAGGTTTGCCAAGGAGGAAATAATTATTCAGGTATTAAAACCAAATATACTTTCCCCAATAACAGCTAGTGATGGAAAAAGATTGCTAGTTCCCGTTGACTAAAATGTGAACTGGAGGAATTGCTACCAAGTATGGACTGCAAAATTCTAGATGTTACAAAAGAAAGGCAAATTCCTTGCTATCATTTAGTGGTCATCTACTACTAATATATTAGCTGGAGCTGCTACTTGTCAGTTAGACAGTTTGTAGGGTGCTGATCTAACAGACTGAATTGTTTGTTGCTTTCCTGTGCCAGACACTTTTGGCCTCTCTTGCATGTCTTTTTGCTTGTCAGTAGCCAGGTGCAGGAAGCTGCTTCCTGTATGAGTTAGACCTTCCTGTAAATTTGCTGTTGATTACCTTGCATGGTTTTGTCAATTCTGTTCCCTTCAGGGCATAAAAAGAAAATTTTGTAAGTCGTCGCCAAAACATAACTGACAGAGAAAGATGATTAAGGCAGGCATCTTGAGAAGGAATATCAATCAAAAGAGCTAAAATTAGTTTCTGAATTTTCCCATATTTATGCTCCAGCAAGAAGCTCAAATTCATAAAAATAGATGAGGCTTCTCTAAATTACAATTAAATCTTGTAAACATAGGCTTTGACACTATAATATCAAGCTGATTGTAGAAATGTACTTCAATATTTTTTTTTAAAAAAATAGAATTTATTATTATTTTCAAAACAAACACAACATATAAAATCTTCCTTCTTCACATACTGTAGAAAGTGAATCAGTTGGTTACAAACAGCTTTTGTGCATTTCTTCCACAGTCATCAAGCATTTCATATTAACTCAAGTATTTTAACTCAAATATTTATACATGTTACTCTTATACCTCCATTTTTATTTNCTCATTTCACCCACCTCAGAAGGATGGAAGGCTGAGTCAACCTTGAGCCGGTGAGATTTGAACTGCTGAACTGCAGATAACAGTCAGCTGAAGTGGCCTGCAGTACTGCACCCTAACCATTGCGCCATCTCGGCTCTTATCAAAAAATGATAAGAGCAGGAAATCTGAAGAAAAAGCCAGAAGGTTAATTCTGGCTGCAGAAGACCAAGGCTTAAGAACAAAAGGATACAAATGCAGAATGGAGAAAGCAGCAATAGACAATAAAAACCACTTCTGCAAAGAAACTGAAAAAACTGTGGACCACCTAGTTAAATGGTACAAGAAGATAATCCGGACTCCTTACAAACAGCAGCATGGAAAAGTAGCAACAATGGTTTACTGGGATATCTGCAAGGAATGTTGCTTGCTTGCCTGCAAGCAAGAACTAGTGAGGTCACAAAATAGACAAAGTAATAGAAAATGAAGAAGCTAAAGTGCTTTGGAACTTTACAATCCAAACAGTCAAGCACTTATCACAAAATACCCAAGGCTTTACAATTGATAAGACAAAATGTCTGAATAAACATTATACTACCTGGAGAGAGCAGAATAGAACTGGAGAAAAATAATAAAATACAAAGATCTGTAAATAGAATTGTGACAAAATGTAGCAAAGGTAGTACCAATATTGGGGTGCAATCTCAAAACGTCTAGAGCACCAGCTGAATATCATTGGCAACAACAAAATTGCAATTGCAAAAGGCAGTTTTACTTAGAATGGATCATATCCTGTAACAATACCTTTAATACCATCAAATAACAATATTGGACTATTCCAGCACCTTGGAAAGCACTGGATAGGTGGCCTTAATGTCCAGCTGACTCTGTGACCAACAAAATTAAAAATTTGCTTATATGCTTCCTGACTTGATGAGACTGCGTAGCTGCAAATCCCAAGTGGGGAGAGATTTCAATAAATCATATAAAATAAGCTGCAAAAGAAGACATTTTTGAATAGGATTTTCTTGACATGATAAAGAATAAAGACTGTTAAATCACAAATAAGATAAGGGGTGACTCAGGATTTTATGTTTTAAATTGAATAACCTTTATTGTTTTTCTTAGGATTTGTCCTGTTTGGATTGCAGAAATAATGAAGCTATCAATGAAATGAAGGTGCCTTAATCCAACATTTTAATTATTATACTACATTGATCTTCTAAACTGAATAACTTATGATAAATAAAAAAAACATCCAGATCCTATGTCCGGCAAACTAAGTCCTTAAAGTCATAGCCTCAGATTGCAATGCTATGAGTACCCCATCAAAACAGTTTGTTGCAGATACTATAAGAGAAGAGTCAGGACCTGGGGGTGGAGTCAAAAGAAGAATCACCCTAGAATCTCTACGTGGCCAGAAAAAAGCTAAATCCAATCCCTCTTGATTTTCATTGATCCTCATTTAACACCAAGAGACTCAGCCATTGTGGATTATTTACATTTATATAATGCCCATCTTACAAGAAGTGACTCTGAGTAGTTTATAGCAAAAATATAAAATAATAAGAATGTTTAAAAAATATTTATACTATTTTTTAAAAAAAAAAACATTACAGGTAAGTCCTTGACTTGCAAACATTTATTTAGTGATTGTTTGAAGTTATGGTGGTACTAAAAATAATGACTTACAATAATCACAGCTTCTCCACAGTTATGTGATCAAAATTTAGGTACAGTATTTGACAATTGGCACAATTACAGAATCCTGGGGTCATGTGATCTTCTCAGTGGGCTTCCAACAAAATCAATGGGGCAAGTCAAATGCACTTATTCATCATATTCACTTCATTACTCTAGTGATTTACTTAATAACCATAGCAAAAAGGTTGTAAAATCATGTGTGATTCACTTAACAACTACCATGCTTAACAATGAAAATTCTGGTCCCAGTCAACATAAATTGAGAATTACCTGTAAGATACACAAGTGAGTCACCTCAAGTTCTCATTGGTCTCTGAGACCTCCAGGCCCGATGACATAGCCAGATATTGAAAAGCTTCCAGAAAATAATTAGGCATAGTTTCTTCCCCTTAGTTCTATATGATGTTCACCACAGAAAAGAAGGCCCATAATTGTGGCACATAGCATGTGTCTCATTTGGTATGATGGGATAGACAGGTGTAACTAGGGGCAGGTAGACCCTCAAATAACCTGAAGTCATGGGGTTTCAGTAGTCAAAGCAAGCACCTTAAATTAGATCCTGAATAGATTGGCAACCACTGTATCTTGTGGAGCAAAGGTGTAGCATACTGTTCTAAAAGCACACCTCTGGCACAAGCTGAAGTTTCTAGATAAACTTCAGGGGCAGTTCCATGTAGAGTTTATAAGCCATGGATTTCGGCATAGTATGTTATATAAACCAAACTTATTGATGCTTATTCCATAAATTATGGTTAGATAAACTTGTTGTGGCCTGCCAGCAGTCAACGAAGCTGGCAGAAGATTCAGACAGTGAGAAGGCTGGGGAGGATCATGGCCCAGTCATGGAGGCTGGGGAAGGCTCTGATGAGGGCTCTGTGTCGGAGGCAGAAAGGGGGCCAGAGCCTATGCCAGTTATCAGCTGCCTTCAGAGTCAGATATCAGTGAGGCAGATGAATAGCTGGAGCCTGTTCCCAGTGTGCGCATGCACAGAGTTGNTGTGAATGATGAGTTGTGTTTCCTTTTTATTTGTTCGTTTTATTTCCCTTTTTTTTTCCTTTTCTTATAGTAAATACCCTGTATATAAGTGATTGCAAATGGAATGTGAAAAATGAATAAAATATATTATAAATAAGAGTCACTACTCAAGCACTTAAGGAAAAGCATATCATCATTCATTTGTGAAAGGATCCAATATCTTTATATATATATATATATATATACCTTCAATAAACATACGAGTGGGACCTGCCCCAGACAGTCTCCAAAAATTACATATGATCAAATAGAAGAAGAAAAAACCCTTGCCCTTTACTTTTTATGTATAATGGCTTTGTGTTACAAAATCCTTTAAACATTTTAAAGTGTATTAGATTAAAGTCATAGCACACGTATACCTTCTTTTTTGCAAGTTCCCCTCCTAAGAATGCATGAATGGATGGCACGATCAATTAAGACTGTAAAATCTCTAGCTACAAATCCTTCTGTTTCCTTTGCAATTTGATGGAGATCAAGATCACAGAATTTCTGTAAACTGAAGTCAAATTTGTTTTTTATTATGGAGTCAAGTGTTTCATATCTTTGCCCCTGAAAAAAACAAAACAATAATTTTAGCCAGGAAATTCTTGAAAGTTTCAAGTATACGTCTATGCCATCTTAAAAAAAAAAACCCAAACACAACAACAACAACCAACATCGATTTTAAACACAAGTAAAAGGATTAAATTTGGAAGATGATAAAATGCAGCTCTAAACATTCCATATATATTTAAAAATTCAAGCAAAATTAGTTGGAATAAGATAATAATAAGAATAATAACTTCTAAATGAAGCTGAATTATGATTTTTACCTGAGTTGGAACTTGAATATGTTGGAAACACTGAAATATATGGATTCCTTGAGTAGAAATGATGGAAGAATGTAGGGACTGCTCAGACAGACTTGTGGCAATATGTACAACCAAACTCTGCATGGAAGTAACTTCTTTTATCATTTCTTTCAGAACTAGAATTTTAAAAAAAGTTCAACTTTTATTCATTCAAAGATTATATATATATAAAACATAGAATTTATATGACCATTAAATTTTACACAACTACTTAAAAGTTCAGTTTGTTCCATAAAAAAACCTCTGGCTTTGAAACTATGTATTCTGTTTATTTCCAATGGGCATTTGTGCTATGTACCTACAACCCTTACAGTATTTTAATTTTGCATCACAATGAGATGCTGATACCTTTTATGCATCTATTATGTTGTCAAATATCGATACAATGTATAGCTTATCAATTATAGTAGCCCTCAATTTAGTACCATAATGGAGCCGGTTCTATTCTATTATGGATGCAAATCAGGACAATCGTTAAACAAAGTACCCATATGATTGCTGTGAAGTTTCCAAAAGATGACCTAATTAATTCATGAGCCTCGAGACAAAGTTCAAAAGAAATCCATGCTCACTATCTTGGCTCTCCCAGGTGTGGTTGCTAAGCAACCATGTAGGTCAGTGATGGCTAACCTTTTCGTCGTTGCGTGCCAAAAGCATGCTGCACACCCATAATGCAATGCATACATGACCCCCCCACACTCCCCCACCCATGTGCACCCTCGTGCTCCCTCCACCCCACGTGTGTACACACACCCCCGTCCCTGCATGCATGCATGAACCACCAAATTCCACCCCATGCATGCACCCGCGACCTCCCTACATGTGCCCCCCCCACATGCACAGCAGAGACCCAAAAACCAGCTGGCTGGTGAGAGGCATGCATGCATGTGTGGTGAAGCTGGGGGCGACAGCTTGCATGCCCACAGACAGGGATCTGTGTGCCACCTGTGGCAGGCATACCATATGTTTGCCATCACAGATGTAAGTCAATAAATAGATAGAGGGAAAGAGCTGTCAAAAAAGAAGGGAATTTCTCCACTGGGCTGGATAAATGAAACTTGGATTCTAAAGATTCAAGGTTCCTTTCACTGGCGAAAGACTTTCCGATTATGAGAAAAAGGATGATCTCTTCCTTACACTTGTGATTATAGCTTAACATTATGTCTCCAGGTATTAATTTTTGGAATTGTCACTCCCTAATCTTGATATCTGTGTATCCAGATGGAAACACGTTATTAATACCACTTATCCATTTCAATACACAAGGGAACTATATTATCATTTCCTTAATCATGATTTATTGGCTCCTCCCTGCTTTCAAAAGGGATCATTCCTGAAGCAGGGAAAGGCCTTTCTTTTGCTTCAGAAAGATTGGATTCCCTGGGAAGCTAGCATAAGGGATCAGTCTGAAAAGGAGTGGGGGGTGGGGGAGGGCAGTCAATGAACATAGATCCAGAAGTTGCTTATTTCCTAAAAGAATAAGGAACACATTTTGATTGAACCAAGGAAGACTTAGAATCAGATAGAAAAATGCTAATACAGTGGAACCTCTGGTCACATAATCCGTTCCAGGACTTCAGTCGCAACCCGATCTGGTCTTGACTGGAAGCAAGACTGACTGCGCATGCACATACAAAAAAAATGGTGCAGCAGGGAAAGTTGCCATGACTGTGTTTGATTGTCACCCAAGGATGTGTTCGCAATCAGAGTGATTTGGTCGTGGTCAGAGGTTCTACTGTATTCCTGAATATTCTTAACAACACGGTTAAAAAAAAAACACAAACCATTTACCATGAGCAAGACAAGTGCTCTGGACTGCTTTAGGACTGTTCTCATGTTCTAGAGCAAGGGGAACTCCCATTATGTGATCAAGATCATCTAACAGAATGACCGATGGCTGTCTCCATGCTGCCTCTAGGAAGGCTTCTTCCAGCTTCTTCTGTATACTTTGTAATCTTTTACCTGGAACATTATGTATTGTCAGTGATAGGGGAAAAAAAGTGGACCATTTTCCAATCTAATGCAGTTATCAATGTATCCTTACGTAACTTTGTTTCAGTTCTGGTTATATCCACAAGTTTTAACAATACTCACTTACCAATACCCACCCGATTATAATAAGGCAAATATAAACCATCTTGAACAGGAGATCTGAACTCTGGTTAAAGCCATATGGTTTAATATAATTAACTCTTAAGAATTGAACAAATGCTGGAAGTCTATACTATGCATATAGGAAATGATAGAGAAAAGGCAGAGACAAACATTACCTCTTAAAGCTTTACAATCAATCACTTCCAAGTGAGTATCAAGTTTATCAAATGCTTCTTTACAAATGGCCTTTGCTAATGTTGATTTGCCACTTCCCTGTAAAAGAAAATTGGGTTGAAGCAACTTCATACTGAAATTTATAGCAACTATTGGCATACCTATATAATTGGTCATTTTCTCTAAGAAAATACATTCTAACAGTTTAATATAAATTCATAAAATGAATAAGTTCAATACATTCAGAAGTCTATAATTCCTTCAGCCACCTGACTTGGTTCACCAGCAAAATATCTGCTTGATTGAGCATTGTACTCAAATGTCTTGTGAAAATGTCTTATTTCAGTCTTTTAAATCTTTTTTCCCATACTTTGTATCATTGGCTTTATCAAATGACTCAGTTTGCCATAAATTAAAGCCTCTGGCAACTAGTCAAATGGGGATATATCTTGTTCCAAAGAAATTTAAGAGTACTTTGTTGTGGAATTCTCCATTGACACAGAGCTCTGGACCAACTAAGCTCAACTTAGTTTATCTTATAATCTGTCATCTTCTCATTTGAAGAACCAGATCAGCTACTATTTTATGGACTGAGAAGATCTTCATTTATATTTCTATATAATGCAAATTCAACCTGTCTTGTTTTCATTCCCTGTGTCTCAGTAAAACCTATTCTGGTTTCTTGGAATCATGTGAATTTAATGAAATTTCAGATCCATCAGAATAGGCAGAGTTTACACAATCCAGGTTACACAAGATCAATCATCATCTATATATTTACTACCAGTTTCATTGTTCTAGAAGAGATTCTAAAACTTGCCTCTATTCTTTATTGGCATATATAGAAGCTGCATAATACTAAATGCAGCAAAGAAATATATTTGTTATACATTGACATTTAAGAGTCAAAGAACTGTATAAAATACTCCTTTAGAAGGAGCAAATTGAAACAATTTCAAGACTGCCTGATATAAAAAGACAGATAACTGAAATGAAAATATCCTGCATTCTAAAAGGGAAATTAAAAGCTTATTTACCTTTGCTCCAGTAATTAGGATACCCCCACTGCATAATCCAGCACAAAAGGGAGCTAGTGTTTGAGACAGGGGATGTGTCAAGAGGCTATGCGATATGTGTTTCAAAGATGATAATCCAATGTTATCCACTCCTCTGCAAAAAAAATAATAATAATTGAGAACTTCTAACTCTACCCTAATCAAGTTACGTATCAAGTAAAGGCCCAATTTTTTCAGAATACTGTATAAAGCAGGCCAATACCGCATGCTTACACTTGTGATCTTACAGAGTATGAAGATGATGGACATTATGCACAATGAATATTAAAAATTCATCTATTCCTTTGTGTTGTTATTAAGATGACTCACCCTAAGCAGTTTAGACTGAGCCATGGTGAAGGCTGTTCACAACAAGACTGAAAGTTACTACCACTGGATGCTGGAGACTCAGGATGTAACAAAACCTGCAGAAAAAATATACTGTTAGGGTCAGAAAAAGTGATAAAAGAAAAACCACATTTATACTGATGCAAGTCCCATTAAATCCAATAAGGCTTACTTCTGATAAATCAGACGTAACATCCTGGAGAAGACATATACAATTACTTAAAAATTAAAAATAGCAATTATGTAACAACTCTAGAAGCATATAGTATAACACAAGAATGGGTATTATATTCTGTGGACAGGCATATTTTTTATTTCAAAAATGATTTTTCGAACAATTAATGGGGAGCTGTGATCAGTGATATCAAAACAACACAAAATTAGTAGGACCACTTTTAAACCTCATTTTTATTTAGAGGAACCTATTAAAATGGAAGCTGTTAAGCACACATTTTTCTGTTAACTTCCATAAAGTAAGAAAAAGTGGCTCAGTTATGAAAAGTATTAAGGTTGAAATATACTAAGCTTATAAGACTTTGCACTTTAATATTCTTTATTGCTAATAACCTGGCACTGCCCGGATTTTTATTTATCCCAACCATCCTTCCATGAACATCGCCACAATTTCTAATGTTGGATTTTCCCCTTTACCAGAGGGAGCCCCCTTGTGGAGTACTGTGAAGCCGTTACCATGACAACTCAACAGCACAGTACAGGAAAAGCCAATTAAGGCAGTACAGTAGAATCCATTTTAAGGCACAACAGTCTGTATCTTAACAGTACACCCCCCCACCCCCCCGAAGAGTATACATATTAAAAAATGAACTGAAAATGCTGGTCTCATCCACATTGTAAAAAGCATCTGAAGTTCTGAAATCCAGCACAGTTTGCTCAGGATGAATTTTTTGACTAAATTGACAGATGCACTTAAATAACAATAAGCACCTAAAAATGTTGTGCAAACCTCAAATTACAATTATTTTATATTCAAAATAAGGTTCACATATCCTTGTATTTCAAACTTCAACTTTTTAGGTTATAACATTACATTTTACCTGCTACTAATCACAGAATTATGGAGTCAAAAAACAGCAAATTTTAAGATAAGATGGTAAGCTAAGCTAAACTAAGCTAAGCTAATAGTTTGTTTTGCAAAAAGTCTCTCCAGAATTCTCTTCAAATATTTTAATGCATCAGACATTTATAAATGGTGAAATTTAACATTTTGTACAAAGATAGAAATCAAGAAAATCAATACATTATCTTAAGTAAATTGCATTAATATTTTAAATTATTGGCTATCTGAAATTAGTTATATTTACTTGTATATTTGCCTTCTGTAGTAAGCTAGGGCTCAAGATGAAAGTATTTCTGGCTTTCTCTTCTTTGGTGTCATAAGTGACTATAGTGAGGACAAAGTCTTCCAGGCCTTCCAAAATACAATGAGAATTAATTTAATTATTATTCAATATATTTTATTTTACCTTGTAAATCTGGTTGGAATGACAATGAATTTCATTGTGTAGAATGGGAGTTCCCAACCCGGGCTCCATGACCCAGTACAAGGCTGCGGCCCATTCAGAGTTGGGCTGCAGAAGCTGCAGGTGAGCACATGTCTGTACGCAGCTCCACTTGTTCAAATAGTAGGTGAGTGTGTTTGTTCGCGCAAAAATCCATTTGTGCAAGCAGCGGTGCGTATGGAGCTTTCTCCATGCATGCATGCTCACCTTGCTGCTTGTGTGGAACCATCCCCTCTCCCCTCCACCCCCACCAGTCTGCAAAGACAAAAAGATCGGGCACTTCATTATTTTTAGTTTTCTTTTAATTAGTTACAACCCCCCCCCCCCATTTTAAATGACTAAACCGAGCAGAGGGAAAGGTCATTTACAGTTAGGTCACATTGGATGTGCTACTATCAAATAAATAAAACATTACCCATTTCCTTTGCAATATTGCAACTTTTTTTACAAATTATCAAAAAATACTTACGGCAAGAGACATTTAATAATTAAACTAATGTATTAAATATAGATAAACTAACTGAAATCCAGTTGTAATTGGCTAAATCTTTTAAAATTGATATATAGGAAAAGCCCTGCAACATGCAATAGTTACATCTGTAATTGAATTTTCCTTACCCGAATTAAGTGCCAATTGTAAATAACTTGTTTCTGCTGTTATCAAGGGAAGCCTAATGTAATCCTCTAGCCACAACTTAAATGCATCTTTAATGTCTTTTTCACTTATTCCTTTATTCTAAAATAAAAAATGATGAGGACTGTTAATTCAGTAATATTTTTTTCTAATAAAAAAATTATGAGGAGCTTTTCTTCCTTTAGCTGATGGGTTACCTGTAATCACAACACTATCTACAAGTTGATCTCATTTTTGTTATCTTCTAAGGCACTTTGATATCTTGGGGGGGGGGCAAAGTATATAAATTTGGCAGGGTTCATGTCTTTTATACAAAATGACAATTTCAGACATACTGGCATTATATTTCTATCAACAGTAAGCCCTCAACCAATCCAAACATTCCAGGAACTTTATTCTAAATGCTTGTTTTGGAAACTAAAGTACACAAATCACTTGGATTTTCCCAGGGTACAAATTGCAATGTAGATTTTTTTTAAATGGACATTGATTTAATAGATTTAAATGAGTGAATATGGCTCGGATTTGTAGGGAAATACAATATAGAAAAAACATAATTACAAGTAGGACTCATTTAATGACCATTCATTCAGCGACTGTTGGAAGTTATGGCAGCGCTGAATGAATTGTAATGATGCCCTGTCTTCAAAGTTATAGCTAGTACAAGAGTCATGTGATCAAAATTCAGGCAGTCTGCTCACATTTATGACTAGGATTGCTTCAACTCCCATTAGGGCTGAAATAGAAGCCCATGGCCTTCAGCAGTCATTACTCGCCTGGGCTTTTATTTCAGCCACCAGCACCACTAGGAAATGTTACCTTAAGCCCCATGCTACCTCAACAGAAGCTCTCGGCCTTCAGCAGTCACCACTTGCCTGGACCTCTATTTCAAACCCTGGCCACTCTATCTTCACAATGCAAGGACTCGTTTATCCCTGCTGCCCTGTGCTCCATTGGTTCTACCATGACTTCTGCCATCTTCTTCCAATGCTGATAAAGCATATCTGGCCTGGCTCTTTGTATGCCAGACCTTCTTCCCCTTCTTGTGATGCCTCGGAAGTCCTCCAAAACCTCATGAGAATGCTAGGGTCATCTTTCCCCAAATGTATGCTTTTTTCCAAATCACGCAGACACTTTTTGCAATGCTTTGGAAGGTAGCTAGCTGTAGTACAGGACTTGACATTCCTTGGTGCTGAAGCTGAAGTAGAGGCCTATGAGCAGCTGGCTGCTGAAGGCCCCAGGCTTCTACTGCACCATTGACAGCACCTTGCTGTCATGGCATGCTGTTTTCAAGGTAGCCAAAAGAGCAGAGATAGGTGTGTGAGGAGAGTTGAAGTAAAATCTATAAGTAGTCAATAAGATACTGGGAACAGTTTATCAACAGTTTATCAATTAGGTCAAACTCACTAAAGTGCGTTCAGGCTGAAGTCTAAGAGAGGTTGGAATTTTAGGATCTGAACTGATTGACGTGATTCTGACAGCAGCATGCATTTCTATATCTAGCTTCTTTCTCAATAGTTCAGGTATCTGAAACACAAAATAAAAATCACAAACAGTTCCTTCTCTAATATATAGAAAAACTTTAATCTTCCATAAGATAAGTCACTGATATAGTAGGGAGGTTTGTGTAGAATCATTTAAGTGACATGATTGGTATAGAAATTTGAGAAAGAAATAAAGAAAACTTAAATTTTCAAAGCTATTTCAAAGACTATAATTGTAGCTAAAATGTTAATAATTTCTCAATTCTCTCTAGGAAAAAAAGGATTCCTTGCATTGTATTTTTCATCATCGTTGATTGATTTGATTTAGTTTAATTATTTGTATCCCACCTTTATTATTTTTACAAATAACTCAAGGTGGGGAACATATCCAACAAACCTTTCTCCTATTTTTCCTCAACATCAACACTGTGAGGGGGGTTGGGTTGAGAGAGAACGGCTGGTCCAAAATCACAGAGCTGCCTTTCATGTCTAAGACTTGAACTCATAATCTCCTGCTTTTCTAGCTTGTGCCTTTATCAAACTGGCTCTCACATTATTTATGGAAATAATATTAACTTGTAACTCTATTTTTTATTGCCTAAGTGAACAAAAACATATGAAAAATAACTGATTTTGTTTTGCTACTTTAATCCACTTTAAGAATTTTATTTAGGAAGGTATAAAAAGATTTGAAGTAAACAAAGCAAACTAAATTAGTATTTTTAAATTGAAACTATTTGAATTATTTTATTTAAAGTTGGATTAGGATATAATGCTCACTAATTACAAAAGCATTATAGTTGGAGATTGCTGCCCACATTCAAAATAACCACTTTTTTCCTGAATAAGCACTAAAATTTAATACAGCTTAGTTTTTAGGTAAAATATTTTAATTCTCTAATGTTAACCAGTCAGCAACTCATCAAAATTGATTTAAAATGCTAATGAGCCTAATATCCTGATTTTCTCTGTATCCTTCATAAATTTCACTAACCCAAATTTTTCCAACATGCAGTTGATCCACATTGTTATTGAACATTAGGGCATCCTTTAGATCCTCAAATCCATTCCATATTATTTGCACAACAGAAAACTCATTAGGTTCTTGAACCTTACTCAAAGTAAATTGCTTTTCTGTGTTAAACAGATGTTTCTCTTTCTTTGAGGTTAGATGATACTTTAACTCTTGCATTTGCTGTTTTGGAGAAAGTAGCTTACTAATTTTCCCATAAGAAACCTGAGTATTAGCTTCTAAAACGGGATATACTTCATTCCATGGAAAAACAAAAACAGTGTTGTATTCCTGAAATGTGCATGTTTCCAGTGTGTTTTTCATGCTGGGAAGCTGCCTTTGACATACTCTAAAAACAGAATCCACCTGAATCAAGTTTAAGAGACGATTTTTAGCAGCGTTCAGTTCCTCAATACCATTAGAAAGCTCATGTTTCTTTTCAGAATTATAAAAAAATATGTTCCGAAGTAAATTCCAAATGTTTGGGAAAATATTTGCACTCAGTAATCCCTTTGCATTTGGCTGATGCTGCTGAAGTTGCCTATTTAAATGTGTTTCTTTGGAGTGTGGCTCCTCATTTCTTTTTCTCGGTTTTAATTCAGTTTCAGGGCCATCTTCTTGCACAGTGTCATCTTTCTGGGAAGGCACCATGGTAGAACTACCTTCACACTGCCGTAATTTAGGAGATACAAGAAGCTCTGTGCAAGCTTCAAGTCTTCCATAAAGAGCTTGGGGCTTTAGAGTAACTAAAATAAAAAGGGAAATGTTAATATACATACCAAACTTATAATTATCTCTTTAAATCTGATAAAGTCTTGCATAACCACTTACCAATCTGGATATAGATACAAGTATGTTGCTCAACCCACACCGGGAAAATAGCTTTTGGAAATACTATTCGAATTTGATTAAGAAGATGCCTTTCCAGGGACAATGCATGCAGCTCCTATAATCATTTTACACAATGTTAAAAAAAACCTTTGATCCTGACTAAGAAGATTGCAACAAAATGAAGACACGAAAATGGTTTTAACAAGTAAAACTGCATGTTTTGTTAAGGTGGAACAGAGAAGAGGAGAAAAAAATAAGTATTATATTAAAAAGCACTTTAATTACCAGTATTTCCCAATCATCTGCTGACATTGGTTCTACTTCTACTTGCTGACAGGATAAAACCTGAGAACAGGGTTCAAGGAATACCTGGCAGATAAGAAATCTAATTAAATTACTTCCAATATTTTCACAATCAGAGCACTGAAAATGATTCTAAACAAGAAAAGAAAATCTGACATAAGAATCCCATGGTTGTTGATCTGTACAAGCAACATACATTTTCAAAACACACTCTGCCTATATAATTAGCATTATTTATTCCCGCTGCCAATATAAAAGTTACTTTTGGCACCCTCAAATAAATAAATAAATGGTATTTTATTCAATTCTGACAGTAACAAAAACTAAACAGTTTGAGAACAATGTTAATATGAGCCTTGGTGGCACAGTGGTTAGAGTGCAGTACTGCAGAGTACTTCGGCAGTTCAAACCCCACCAGACTCAAGGTTGACTCAGCCTTGCATCCTTCCGAGGTGGATAAAATGAGGATCCATATTGTTGGGGGCAATATGTTTACTCTATAAACTGCTTAGAGAGGGCTGTAAAACACTGTAAAGCAGTATATAAGTCTAAGTGCTGCTGCTAGTATGTGCAACTTTTATTTATTGACCCACTGACTGACTCACTGAATCCTAAGCAAAAATATTCTAATATTTTATTTATTAAACTTAAATGTCAGTCATCTTGCCTAGAAGCAACTGTAGGTAGTTTACTAAAATAAAATATTAAAACAGTAAATATCAACACTAAAATTGATATAGAAAATGACAACGATGAGAAGGAAGGGAACTAGATGCAATGGTGAGAAGGTGGGGTCTTGTCTTAACCCATTAACCATCTCCAGAATGACATGCCCCCTATTGGGGAGCCTGGGCAGTTGGCAGAAGCAGATCTTCAAGCTCTTTCAGGAAGCCAGAAGGATGGGTGCAGATCTCAGTTTGGGGGTGACAATACTGGAGAGATATAAGTGATGAATTGAAAATAATTCGATAAAAAGTTAGTTCTTAACTTTCCACTGGTTGCTTAGCAGCTGCTCAAAGTTACAACAGACCATCCAAAAGCTACCAACACCCCAGTTCCAAAGTTACAGCCACTGTAGTACCCTACAGACATTCATTCTTACGACTGAATATAGGGACATTGCAGGAATCCCCCTGTTTATTTCCTCACCCTGGGTCCCCTGGGCACCATGGGTGCTGGGACCCACCATGCTTCACACTCTCTTCATTTACTCTTTGAAAATCTCCAGAGCTCAAGTGAGAAACGAAGAGAGGCTGCTCTGCTCCTGGCCTGTGTGGTGTGATCCCAGAAGCAGCCACTATTTTCTGGTCAGCTGCATTGAATTGTGGTTACCCTAAAAATAATGGCCACTTTTGGGATTGTGTCACAAGGCCCAGGAACGAATAGGCTTGTTCTGCTTATTTAATATGAAGTCTGACCCAATGCAGAGCTTTCCAAAATTTGTATTAGAGAAACAGAAGAAGCCTCTTTGCACCTGGTCCGTGTGGTGTGTGATCCCAGAAGTAGCTGCCATTTACAGAGCCTCCACAGTTCAATGAGACTGGCCAAAAATAGGGTCCATTTCTAGGATAAAACCACATTGTCCGGTCCTAGGCTGCATTAATAGAGGGATAGAATCAAGATCATGTCGAGTGTTAATACCACTTTACAATGCTTTGGTAAAACCACACTTGGAATATTGCTTCAAGTTTGGGTCGCCACAATATCAAAAATATGTTGAGATTCCAGAAAGAGTGCAGAGAAGAGCAAGGAAGACGATTAGAGGGTTGAAGGGTAAAACGTTTGAAGAATAGTTGCAGGAACTGTGTATGTCTAGTTTAATGAAAAGAAGGACTAAGGATGAAATGACAGCAGTGTTTCAATATCTAAGGTGTTGCCATGAAGAAGAAGGAGTCAATCTATTCTCCAAAAGCAGGACAGGAATCAATGGGTAGAAACTAATCAGGGAGAGAACCAACTTAGAACTAAGAAGGAATTTCCTGACAGTTGGAACAATCAGTCAGTGGAACAGCTTGCCTCCAGAAGTTGTGAATTCCCCAACACTGGTGGTTTTTAAGAAGAGATTGGACAACCATTTGTCTGAAATGGTTTAGGATTTCTAGCTTGTGCAGGGGGTTGGATTCCAATTCTTTTATTCTGAATGAAGAGGCCTGCTCTGCTTCCCTAATGCAAGTTCTGGAAAGTTCCCTGTCCATCACAATTCTCTGGAGCTCATGTTAAAAAGAAGGGCAAACCCCTCCATTCATAGGCTGTGTGGTGCGATCCAAGAAGCAGCCATCATTTTCAGAGCACCCACAATTTAATGTGGCTGCCCCCAAGCTGCTTTCAGGATTGTGCCACTTGGATCAGGAACAGAGCTGCCTACCCTCCTTCCACCTCCTAAACCAAGCTCCAGAGATCTTTGAAAGGTAAGTGAACAATGGATGACATGGGGTGACAAGGGTGTGGGGCAAGATGGGGCATTAACTAGACACAAAGCTTGCAGGGATCTCAAGGGGTGGGAAATGGCACACCGAGTGCCTAGGTGGATGGGGGCCCCCTTAGGGACCCTGTGCTTCACTAAACAACCTGCACATTCATTTAATGGCTGCATCTGAAAAAGAAAGAACAGGGCTTTATAAATGATGCTCATGACTTCTGAATGTAATGGACAGGTATTATTTCTGCATGTTCATTTCAAGCAATATTCTTTGTTGAGTGCAGTTCTTTGTTTGTACCTCATGTCTGCATATCCCATAAGAAATGCACTTGATGTATTATGTGCTTTGCAGGTGCAAAGCAAATAAATTAATAGAGAATGTATACAACAATCATTTCAAAAGTTAACTATGAAATATGTTTGCTAGGTCTCGGTATTTTATTAAGCATAACTTGTAGGCAATTTGATAATTTAATAAGCTAGATTTTGAAACTAATAACTGATATATTCCATATGCATCAACTTCATATCCTACTCTAAATATACAAATAGAAGATTGCATTTCAAACCTGTTGTCCATTTTTGATGCCAAGCGTGCCTGCTAATTGTCTGTTTATTTCAACAATGTTTTCTTCTGTTTGACGTTGATGTCTGCTTTCCATCCAACCCAAGAATACTGATTGATTCCCCCAAGAAACTTTCACAATTTGATCCTATAAATTAAAAAAAATAAATACATTTATATGAAACAAACAGGGGATATTTTACGTAAGTAGACAAATAGATGCATATAGACCAGGCCCAAGCAAGAGTGAGATTTTGGGGGGTAAAATTAGGGTGTTCTGGTTTAATAAATTCCATATTTCCAGATATCAAGGAATTCCTTTATGTATCAATTTAAGGGCTCCAATCAAATTGGTATAACAAGATATTTCTTTTTCAATAAGTGTTCAAATTTGATCTGTAAGTCTTGGATTTTGTAATTTCCCCCCATCGCAACATAAAAAAAATCAGACTTTTTTCTTTTCAATAACTATAATATCAGGCATATGTCAACAAGTTGCTTGTCAATTTGGACCCTAAAGTCCCATAAGACCTTAACCCATTTATTATTCTTAGTATTTTATCCCAGCTTTTTAATGTATAACTCAAACGTATCTAAAACACCTTCTTCCTCTGATTTTTCTTGCAATAGCAACATTATGGCAGTTGGTTAGGCTAAGAATGACTGGCTCAATCAATCAATACCTCTATTCATAAAATACTCAGGCTTTGAATTTTATATGTTAGATTATTATTTTTAATATATTTTTCTTGCTTTTATGGGTTAATAGAATTCATGCTGCTCATTTTTGAGCCTTGCATATATGCACAAACACTACATTATATAGTGTATCACCTGTACAGTCCTGTGTGGTTTCAGGTTTCGTAATTTTGGCTTTGTCAGCATCAGTCTTTACAAGATCAGTTCCAATTGTCAATGATCTGGAAAGGAGCAGCCTTTTGGAAGGTCCAAAGACCTGGCTCTTTCCATAAGGAATGAACTAGGGTACGGTTGAATCAGAGGATCAATAGTTTGATGGCCTGGAATTTAGTAATTTCAGCTTTAGCTCTTTGTTTTAAGAGTATTTACAAAGCTAATATAGAATTCGCCTCCCCTCTCTCCAATAATTATTTCACTGCCCTCTCATGGATATTATAAGGTATTTTTCCAAATGATTTTAAAAAACCTTGTTCTTAACACTGTGTATACATTGGGGGGGGACCCACAGGTATAACAGGAAAAAAAGATAATGTGTACTATATCAGATTTAAAACTCCTATTCCTTTAATAACTGCAGAAAGTTGCAGTTGACTTCAGATCATTCTCAATGCTTGAAAAATATAGCAATTTTCCCCATCATGACATTCGGTGTCACATGCCAGTAATCCCCAGTGGGTGGCAGCACCTACTATTGGCAAATTTCAAAAATAAATGCCCAGCAAGATCAGATAAAGGATTAGCAGAGCATCAAGACATCTTATGTCAGGTGATATTGAACATCCTCAGAAAAAACCAACAACGTATCATTTCTGTAGTGTGGCCAAGAAACCTCCACCAGGTGCAGCTGCAAATCTCCTTTTCCTCTGGAGCAAATAACTGCTTTTACTTAGCATGGCTAATGAAGAGGATAAGGGTCTCCTGCTTGAGCAAGGCGGTTGGATGAAAGATGTCCAAGGTCCTGTTTCTCTTATTCTGATAAATTAACCTGTGGGCCTCCTCACCCTATTTTTAAGAGGTCCATAAAGGGGGCGTGCAATAGCACACCAGCTGCCTACTGTCCCCATTTATCTGTATTTACTTCCTTTATTCATGTTTATGTTCATACCTAAACTTGTTATCTTGTACATGTTTGACAAACAAACAAACAAAGTTAACCTTTTGACATTATCCGGAGGCAGGCAAGGGCTTGTCTATGGTACCATGGGTCGTCCATGGAACAGCCCCATGCTTGAAAATGGAAAGATGCTGGTAAGAAAAGGGACGCTGTGACTGTGAATGAACACTTCAATCTCAGGAATCATGGGGCACAGAACGAATGGAGGTCGGTAGACACATTCCTTTAATTCCTTATACCTGCTGCAGTCGGAGGTAAGAAATCAGCCAGGTCGGCAAGTGCAGAAAGCAGTTCTTGACGCCGCTCAAGGAGACGCTCGCCGCGGCTACCCCGACTCCTCTTGCCCCCCACATTACCGCCGACCCTCCGGCCACCCACGGCCAGGTAACACAACCAGCCACCTTAAAAGACAAAACTATAGAAAGTCGCCACTCTTGGCCGTCATCAGATTGACGAAACTATTTCTTCCGGCTTCCGGCTCTGTACCGTACTCCCCCCCCCCCCCTTCCCATGTAGTCCTTAACCGTCATTGGAGGCCCAGCCATTTTTCTCTGCTGTGATTGGATGATGGGCGAAGGCTCCACCTCGTTCCTTCGCCGGGTTCTTCATCGATTTATTTCCGCCTTTCCTTAGCGTGGCCGTCGGGGGGAGGGGGAAATGACTTAGATGACGTTTTCAAGAGGCGACAAGAGAGTACGGAAGCGAAGATGGCGACGGTTGATGCAGGTGAGGAGGAGGTCGGAAGCGCCTGCCAGCATCACGCACAGCAGGCGATCTGCGCATCGCGCGCCAAGTACCGTGAAGGGCGCAGGCCACGAGCAGTGAAGGTAAACGAGAAAAAAATTCCTCCTTTGAGCCGTTTCCTCGTCTTTTCAAATTCGCTCTCGGATACAGATACTTTGTTGAGATCTCCCTAAGAAGCCTACAAGCCGGATAAAAGCAAATCTGTCCTTCCTTCCCCCCTCCCCTTTTTGTTTACTCGCAGCACCTAAACAGGAAGCCGAATCGAGTGGAATAAAATAATACAGTTGGGAAAAGGACCTTGGAGGACTTCTAGCCCAACCCCCTGCGCAAGCAGGAGACCTTATAACATTTCAGACAATCTGAAATGTCCAATCTCTTCTTTAAAGATGATGGAGCACCCATAACTTATGAAGGCAAGCTGGTCCACTGATTAATGTTCTCACTGTCAGGAAATTTCTCCTTATTTCTAGCTTGGATCTCTACCTGATAGGTTTCCAATCCCTTAATCATCTTTGTTGCTCTTCTCTGCACTCCTAGTATGTCAACATCTTTTTTGTTTCGTGGCAATCACAGCTGGATGCAGTGCTCCAAGTGTGGTCTTGCCAAGGCATTATAGCTGTAGCAAGACTTTGCATGACCTTGTTTCTATCCCTCTGTTAATGCATTGCCTTTTTTAGCAGCTGCAGCATAACTGCTAGCTCATATTTAAGTGGTTGTCCTAGATGCCTCTCACAGTTACTGTTATTGGGCTACATATCACCTAGTCTCCATCTGAGCATTTTGATTGTGTAAAACCTTACTTTTCTCACCACTGAATTACGTTTTGTTGGATAGCACCCAGTGTTCAAGTCTGTCTTGAGCCTATCTTCTAAAGCAGCAATCCCTGACCTTTTTGCCATCAGGGGTTGGTTTCATGGAAGATATATTTTTATGGACTGGAGTGGGAGGAGGACCATGATCCTTAGCATGCAGTTTCACTTGCCTGCCACTCACCTCCAACTGTGCAGCCCAGATCCTCACAGGTCATGGCCCAGCACTAGTTCACAGCCCAGGAGTTGGGGATTCATGTTCTAAAGTGTTGACTATTCCTGACAGTTTGGTGTCATCTGAAAATTTGATGAGCTCCCCTTGTATCGCTTCATCTAAGTTGTTTATGAAGATGTTGAAGATTACTGGGCCTACTTCAAGAATCTTGAAGTATCTCACTGCGAATTTCTCTCCATGTAAATGCAGTTTCATTAAGGACTACATGTTGAGTACAGGTGATCAGCTAGTTATAATTCCATTGGTGGTGATGCTTTTCTGTACCAATTAATAGTTGTGATCCACTTTGTCAAATGTCTTACTGAATCCAAGTATACTCTGAAAATGGAAGTTGTGTTTAGCTGTTACAACTGTTGTTCCCTGATAAGACATTTGCCAGTTTGTTCCTTTCTAAACTATCATGCATAATCGGCTAGATCATTCTTGAATTGCTGAACACTGTGCCAATTTACTGACCCAAAAAGAAGCAGTGGTCTTTTGAGTGGTCAAATGTGACTTCAGTTTTACCTTTACTTTAATCTTCACAATGCTTCCTATCTTGCGAAGTTTCTACTGTATGTCAATGTCCAAGGGAAAATTTGAACAATAATTTCCAATGTCATGACCAGGCTGTAAGCCATGGTTGTTGCTGGTCTGATGAGAACACTTGCTTTTCTTGTATAATATAGTTTTTGAAGTATCCAAGATATAGTAGTAGCTAATTGTAGTTTGTCCAAATGCTATGAGTAACCATTTATAATCCTTGCTATAATTCAATTAATAGCGATATCTTTCTTCCTATACTGTATGTAAGACTCGGCAATCTTTAATTTCTAAACTTGACTATATTCTTTGACCCACTACTTATGTTTTTCCCAATAACTTTTAAAATTTCATTTCATCTGACATTAGTTTTCTTTTCCCTTAACTTGTTTGGTTTGTTTTCATTCTGCAACTTGCATTGTTACTTTTATTTGGTCTCATATTATTAATATATATTAATGTAAAGTTTAATCAAAAATATGATTGCTTAGGTTCATTCATCAAACTAACCCATAACCAAACAAGTCGTACATGTAGTCCTCAGCTAACAACATTCCAAGTTATAACACTCTGAAAAATATTGCTTATGACTGGTCCTCATTGTAACCATTGTAGCATCCCCACAGACACATAATCAATATTTGGTTGCTTGGTATCTGGCATGTATTTATGATGGTTGCTTTATTTAAGGATCATATGATTGCTATTTACAATCTTCCTAACCAGCTTCTGACAAGAAAGTCAATGGAGGAAGTCAGATTTGCATTAACAACCACATGATTCATTTAACAACTTCAGCATTTGGCACATAAAATGTGCCGAGGTGGCGCAGTGGTTAGGGTGCAGTACTGCAGGCCACTTCAGCTGACTGTTATCTGCAGTTCAGCGGTTCAAATCTCACCGGCTCAAGGTTGACTCAGCCTTCCATCCTTCCGAGGTGGGTGAAATGAGGACCCAGACTGTGGGGGCGATATGCTGACTCTGTAAACCGCTTAGAGAGGGCTGAAAGCCCTATGAAGCAGTATATAAGTCTAACTACTATTGCTAAAATCAACTGTGGCAATTCACTTAAAAATTGCCTTACTTAGCAATGGAAATTTTGGTCCCAATTGTATGCACAGGTAGACGACTACCATGGATGAACTTGATCACTAATGCTAAAATATCTAACTTCTGACACATTCTTTTAAAATTGTTATACTGTATTAGTGTAAACAGAGACGTGGTGGCTCAGTGGCTGAGATGCTGAGCTTGCCGATCAGAAAGATCAACAGTTCAGCAGTTTGAATCTTTAGCACCACGTTATGGAGTGAGCTCCCGTTACTTGCCCCAGCTTCTGCCAACCTAGCAGTTCGAAAGCATGTAAAAATGCAAGTAGAAAAATAGGAACCACCTTTGGTGGGAAGGTAACAGCGTTCCGTGCACCTTTGACATTTAGTCATGCTGGCCACATGACCACGGAGACGTCTTCGGACAGCACTGGCTCTTCTGTTTTGAAATGGAGATAAGCATAGCCCCCTAGAGCTGGAAACAACTAGCACATGTGTACAAGGGGAACCTTTACCTTTATCTTTTATTACTTTTAATTAATTTTAAAATAGAACAGCTCAGTTACATATATTAAAGTGTTCTTAAAGTAATTTTGTTTTTCAGGTTTACACTGTCAATTTAGAGTCTCGATATTTGTTAATCCAAGGTGTTCCTGCATTGGGAGTTATGAAGGAGCTAATTGAACTTTTTGCATTATATGGAACTATCGAGGAATATAATCCACTAGATGGTTATCCAGCAGAAGAATTTACTGAAGTGTACTTGATCAAGTTTTTAAAAATATCAAGTGCAAGGTAATAACTATTGCTTTTGTTCAGGCTAGAATACCTACTTGTTTGATATTGAAACATATTTCATGTATATCAGTTTTATGTAAACCACAACAGTTATTTTTATATTATAAAAACTTAACTTACTGGATTTAAAAAGAACTTAACTTCAACAAGGTTGAGTTGTCTTTAACATTGTGTATCAATCACTCTTTCTCTTAGGGCGGCCAAAAGAAAACTGGATGAGCGGAATTTCTTTGGCAGCTTGCTACATATATGCTATGCTCCAGAATTTGAGAGTGTACAAGAGACCAGAGACAAACTAAGAGACAGACGAAAATATATAGCAAAAGCAACCAATTTCAGAGGTTTGTGGCTTTTATTATTTTAAATCAATAAAGGGCAAGAGCAAACAACTTTTGTAATTCTCCCCCCAAATCCAATATTAATTTGCCAAAGATGTTATCAGAAGTAAAACAACTCAATGAGGACTTTCCATTTACTGTTTGAAAAATTATATTCATTCTTTTTATATTCTCATTAAGAATCCTCTTGCATTGTTTCAAATCTATATAGCTTGGTATGGAAAAAAGGATGAGAGAAAAGGAAAAAAACTGTGTGTCTGCAGAATTTACTTTGAATTAGATACAATTAATTTTTTTTCTTAGTTCATGTATTTAATTTATTTTGCTTATTATTCCATTGTAGATTTTTGCACAACTCCAAAAACAATCAAACAAACCCACAACCCCAGAATGGTGGACATTTATGTAATTTATTAGAATATTCCAATTGTTTAAAAATGCATATAGAATCATTACATCCAAGGCATAGCAGAACAATGCTTTGGAGGGAATTTTTCTGTAACTGTCAACTAATACATTAAAAAATGTTTTCTCACTACTCATCAAATAAATCCTATTCTCTGTTTTCTACCATGGTAAATTGTTAACAAAATTAAAATTCACTTCAAAATGCCTTTTTTACTATATACTAGCATAACACATTATTTTTTGTGTTTTCAGAGCAATCATTGGAGACAAAACAGGATTATGGTATAGATTCTTCAATGACCATGCCGTTGGATCGTGGATCATGGGCATCTAAAACAGCCATTAGCAAATGGAATCCAGTAACATACACCCAGGACCCCTATCAATCTTCCTCTTGCACATTATTAGTGAAGCATATTACATCTCCTTCAGAACAGCATTGCCAGAATGTATTAGTAGCTCCTCACTACTCTGATTACTGTCCTACAACATCTGCATGCTTTAGTCAAAAGATAACATTGGATAAAAAGCCACAGCAAAGAGAGCAGGACACATTGGCTTGCTGGAACCTGGAAAGAAAGGTTCCATGTTATGAAGGTCTTGGAAGATTCATGCCCCGGACTACTCAACTCCAGGAACGAAAGAGGAGAAGAGATGAAGACAACAAACTTTCCCTTTTGGGAAGAGAGCCTAAGGGTGAAGAACTTATTTTTGGCCCAAGACTACCAGAAATACCTAAAATAGATATGGATGATGATTCACTGAACACCTCAGCAGTCTTAATTCGCAATAGACTAAAGAAGGTGGGCCAATAATTTTTCATTCAATGCTCTGAAAATATGTAGTTCTAACATCATTTAGAATGTGTATATATTAATTATTTTGCAGTAATGTAATCCCTGCTATTCCATTATGAATGCATATAATATACTAACTTTAGATTCTCTTTTTCAAACTAGATTGCTGATCCAGTTCAAACTTCAAATTCATCTGAAGAATTATTAGTGGAAAATCAAAAGAAACCAGTAATAAAGCTAAGGCGGCGAATATAAATATTTCTGATTGCATTTCACGTTTATATTTGATTCACAAGTAGGTAGGCTCTGACTATTTCTAGACAAAGAAATATGGCTTCATTTGTTAACATGAAACAGTTCTTGTGAATCTAAAGTTATTATCCATTATGTTGAAATTTATTGATGGCTATGAATGTCATCACCTTATTTCTTATGCTCCTAATACTATCCTATGATGCAATGCATTGGGTCTATCCGGCTGCATTATATTTCATTCATTATATTTTACTTGCAGATCTACAACTCAGGAGCTTCTTGGAAAGCTTGTGACTCAAAGGACATCCTGCACTGTAAAAGAAATAATAAACATTTTTTTAAATGTTTAAAAAAAACACTATAACAAACCTATATCCAAAGAACAATGTTTATACATTTGGAAAATGTACAAAATTAGATACCCAATCTTTAAGTAGCAAATTTTAAGAGTCTGTTTGGTGTCACAGTTAAAATACTGACATAAAAACCAAAAGACTCATGAGTTTTAAGTCTGTTTTAGGCATGAATGATGTCTTGGCCAATAATTTCTCTGGGCCAGTCACTCTCAGCCCAACCCCCCTTACAGGGTTGAAACTGGGAAAATATGAGGCAGGAATATTAGGTATATTTGCCCCCTTTGTATTTTATACAAAAAGATGTAATAATAATCATGTTGCGTCATGATTTATTGAAACTATTTGCCAAATTTCTGTTTTTTGAGAAATAAAAGATTCCCCTAACAATGTGAAGCTAGTTGCATTATTCTCTGGATCTTTATTGGATATTGATATTTTCATTTCATATAATTGTTCCATTATCAAACGGGCCATAAACATAAAACACATTTATTTTGAAACACTTTGATTTACAGAAATGCAGGAAATGCAAAAATACAGAAATACAGAAAGGTTAAGAAGTTTATATAACAACTAGACATTAATATATCTGCAGGATGTTTTATAATTGCCTTAATTCAAAAATTTATTACAAGAAATTTAGAATCCCTACACTGTAAGTCATCACATTACTATTTGATGATGTACTTTTTCAGAAGAGTAAAAAAAACCTAAATGAATGATTAAAATGGTCAACCTTGTAACAGATTTATGTTTCTAAAAGAGTACTGAGAATATATGGGAGTATTTCATATTTTATATAAAACATAGATCTTCTATAAGATTATCCCTGCTCCCAGAAACATGTCTGCCTTACAGCCCTACTTTTGCTGAATCTTTTAAGATGACAGTCTCCTTAACAGTAAACTAGACAACCTGTGATCCTTTGGGTCACCTTTTTAATGATTTTTCCTTTGGTAAGAAATTCCGCAAAGCCTTCAACAATGACAGAAATTGTAATCCATTGCTGTTGTGGCCCGTCAGCAGCCAACGGAGCTGGCAGCAGAGTTAGAAAGTAAGGAGGTTGAGGAGGAATATGGACTAGTCCTGGGGACTGAGGAAAGCTCAGACAAGGGCTGTGCATTGGAGTCAGAGAGGGAGTTAGACACCAGTGAGGCAGAGGAACAGCTCGAGCCAGTTCCCACTGTGCACATGTGCAGAGCTGCCAGAATACAAGAACAACTAAGAAAGCAGAGTTGACTTGAGAGTAAAGCTACACCTTGGAGGCAATTGGCCTCTCCCATAGGAAACAAAAGAGGAGCAAATGGGAAGTGGGTTTTTGCAGGAAACAATTTGTTCCTTTGGTCATTTCAAGAGTGGAAAGTTCTGTTTGTGACTATAAGAGACTGTGCCAAGTGTTGCCTTGCCCTGCATTTGCAAACTAGTTATCTGGCAGCTGTCCAAGCGAGATAAGATTCATGTTGATAAATATTCCTCTGAAAGACTGTTTGCCAAGCCTTCCTGGCTGAAAGGAATTCAGTGTCATGTAAATAAAAGAGGTTTTGCTGGGACCAAAACTCTGTTTTAAGCTCTTTAAAGAAACCTAAGTCAGAACAATTGCCTTCACTTGAAAAGTTGGATACATTCAGACATGTTTGCCTTGAAAATACCACATGTTGAACTATATAACATAGTAAAACATCATCAGAAATGTTTTATGGCATTTTGTATTACGTCATCTGTTTTATAATTTTTGTATCATAATATTTTATAAGATTTGCCAAATTTAAATTCCGCAGGAGTCATATTGCATTTTGCTACCTTGATTCAAAAATCGTTGCCCTGTGATACACCGTTCCACCCGAATTAAGGTTACAAGAACAAAAATTTTAATAGCAAGTAGATTATCTGGGAAAAATTAAATCTTTCAGATCATAAGCATTTCACTGTTCAATATGCATTTACATATTTGAATCTGATCTACCGGTAACTCCATGAACTGATCGAGCCACTTTTAAAAGATAGAATTGTTCATATTGTTCAGAAAAAAAATTAGAAAAAGCAAATACTTTGGTTAAAGCAAATCCAAAATCTTTGATTAAAATAGCCAGAAGTGGGACACTGGTGATTTATATTCAGGTTTGAGAAGTGCATATAATCTACAGATAGAGCATGGCTCCTTAGTCCTGATCTATACAGCATAACTAAGCTTAGCTCATTAGTCCTGGACTAAAATTATTTTAGATCAGGGGAAAGACTTCAGTTAAAGCATGCTAAAATACAATTGGCTTGATGATTAGCATTAAAGTCTCACATTATACACATATATAATGAATTTGATTAGCCTCATTCAGTGATCACTCAAAAAAGCAGTTTAATAACTAGTTTTGTATTTAGAACAGTTAGTTCAAATCTAGAATAGGAATACAGTTACTAATAAAATTACTAATTAATTATTGTACTTTGATATAATGTCATAAATACCTTCACATCAGGTAAACATGGTCCAAATGCTTCTAAGAGGAGATTTTCATCTCTTACTGCCCTTTCAAAATCCACATAAGAGATTTTGCCATCGTGATCATAGTCCTGTGAAATAAGATACTTTAACTCATATAATCACTATATTTACACTATAGCCTTATATATAATTATTTGGGCTAAAATACAATTGGAGTTAAATTCATTTCCGCTTTTTTTTTAATCTATCAAGGGTATGAATGAATCCCAATTGAGTTAATTGGATAAACGATTAGTATGATCTAAACCTGATAAGCTGTGTTTTAAAATTTATTATACTTGCCATTTTCTTCAATGTTATTTCTACTAAATCTTTAATTCCTTCATCGGGATCTTCCTCTGATGGCTGTTTTAGCAGACTGTTCTTCAGCATATGAAACATTTCCTCTCGTGAAATATATCCATCACCATTCAGGTCATAAACCTCAAAGCAATCTTTAAAAGGTATAATTACATTAACTGCATGCATGTCAAAATACCTTCCAGATAATTTAAAATAACAGTAATTGAATTGTAGTTAAAGAAACCAATTTTGTAATAAATTATACTAAATCTACTGTACAGTATGTATGGTATAAATGATATAAAGTACAATGTGTATTTTTACAATATACGCATTTCATAATGAATTTGCCCTAAAATTCAGATTAACATGAAAATCAATTTTTACTAGAAAAATGTTACATTTCATCTTTTCTTCCAAAGTCCCTCGAAGAAATATTGATAAGCCTTCTACCCATTCTGTTACACTGACACAGCTGTCATTGTCTTTGTCAAAAGCACGGAATACTGCAGGAAAAATAAAGATTATTCTAAAGTTTTATTTTAGAGTTGGCTTTCATATTAAAATGATTTATCTTGAGTATGAACATTGCCTATACCTATGTATGTAGTCAATGTCTAAGACTTGACACAATAAGAGTAGAGAAACAGTAATCCCAAAATATAATATACAATATTGTAACATTATATTATAAAATCTCATAAATGTATCTCAATCATCAAGCAGCTGAAGCCAATCCCTACAATCAGATATCCTCTAAATAACTCTTCCAATATCTCTGCAAAATAAGATTATCTTCGTAGTCTTTTATGTTTGAATTAAAGTTTCTGTTATGATATGGAGATCCACTATTCAAATGTGATTGAATCTCAAATTCCTGGAAAATTTTAAAAAGCAATTTCATAACTTTTATGCATAATGTTTAATGACATGTTAATATTGCTATGTTCTCCCTTTTTAAAAGCAAAACAGTTGAATATAGTGAGTGCTTAGAAGGGAGATCATTAAAAAATACCAGGGCTGTGAAAAATTGAAAAATATCCCAGAAGCCAATAGCAAATCTTTTCCATATTAACATATGGAAGTTTCAAGGAGTGAAACTCAACTCCAAAGAGGTTTTATATTTTACATCATATATTGCCCCACACAGTGTACATAGAGTAAGTAAATTTATTAATGTCCAAAGTTAGCTTATATATCTATAGCTGAAACATTTCCAGATATTTATTAAAATTAAAATTAGAAATTCTAGGTCTGCATCCATATAAACAGTGCTATAAATATTATACTAGAGCAATTGCTATTTATTACATATTGCTATTATGTGGGGACATTAAAAAGGCCAAATGATACAGTAACCCAAATACTACAATGATATTATCAACAGACCGCGTAGTATGCAGGAGAATAAATCCTACTCAAGGTTTATCAGTTCTAAACAATGAATCATATTAAGATAAACTGATATGAATTTGAGCTTCCATGCAATTTTCAACCTTTATGAATGTATTTACCCAACATAGAAATGGTTTCAAAACTGCAATCTAAAACGGCTTCTCGATAATACTTTAAAATACAATAATTCATGAGCGTTGATTTAATCTCACCTCTGTCCATAATCATGTCGTCTGTCATTCCAAATGTGACATGTAGAATATTGCGAAATGAATTGCGATCTAAACCAACAACACCATGACGGTCGCTGGGTTCCACATCCAAGTTGTTGAAAAGTTTGATGAGACATTCTACTTCAAATTTATTAACTACAAAAAGGAAACAGCGAAATAAAAGCCACAATAAAAGATGCACTTGTTCAACCAGCCAATGTAAATTTGAATATGTATCTCCCCGGTTCTCTAATGTTGCCGTCCTCGGGTGCTCCGCTGACAAGGAATTCTGGGAGTTGTAGTTTCAGCATGTCTGGGTGGAAAGCTCGATCTTACCCCAGTCGAGATAATAATAATAATATAAAAACAATTGTCACGAATTCACTGATCGGTTAATGAACTCGGGAGCAGCTGGGTTTAAAGAGCTACAGAGGAAAGAGTAGACCCACTTTCACTCACAATGTTTAGCGGATTTGCACAGGGACTCGGTCAGCTTCTGCAGCTTCTTTCT